CAGCAATCACCTAACGCGTTCGAGAACGGAGCTTATAATACTCGTTCGAAGTAAACTTTCACAGGTCACGGCGAATGGTTGACCAGTGGACGAGCAGTTGGCGTGTGAGGCGTCCAGGTTCGGCGTGCGATGTTGCAACATGGGAATAGCTTAATCGCCGGGCGCGTGGCTGCCACGCCTAAAGCCAGTTTTCTTGTCGGCTCAGTACGAATCTTGCGTGCAAGTCGAGACTAAACTAACCGGGGGCGCGTGGCAACCACGGGACTTGTGAGAATCCGATCCCCGCAAACGACGGCTACGATCACCACCAATGCCGCGTCTCGGGCGGTTCAGCTTCAGCCAGCGAGAAGATGCGGCGGCGTGTGCTGGCCACACGAATTCAGGAATCATCGTCCTGATTGTTTGACTTACTTAACAAATAGTATTTTTCTTTTATAATAAATCAGCCAACAGTTTATCAGCCAAGCGAACATGACACAAAGCGAACGGGTCAGTCGGGGTGTAGAGCCGTGTGGACTGTAGCAGGATGGCCGCAAAACTGAGCCGAGCAGCAAGCTTTGCCTTTCACGACTTGTACAGAGGATGAGATAGCTACGTGGGTCCGTCCTAAAAAGAATGTAACTAGTTACGTCAAAAAATGATTTACGTTTCATCAAATTTCTAGTAAATAGTATTTATATATTTAAATTAATTTATTATGAAAATACATTTCATAATTAATCTAATGGTATTTATTTGATATCATAAATATGGATACTTTTTTATAACTGGTCAAACTCAAGATACTAAAATATGACATTGTGTTAGAATTGTATTCTTTTGTATTCTTTTGATAGAGGTAGTACTGCACTGGACTTCCCGGTCCCAGGCCTGACCTAGTACTACGTGTTTCGATCTGAAACTGATTGTTCGGTTTTGCTGCTGAATCACGGAGCTGATTGTTCTGTTTAATCATGATTAGAACAAAAATATCAGTCACTCTAAAAAAACATCAATTGTTAGGTCAATCTCAATGGAGGGTTTTGTAGAGTTTCATGAGCATTAAATATCGCTGACAAGCACTGTATTGATAAAGGGAGAGATTATGAAAGTTTTATGGGAGTAGAGAGAGTTTTATGAGGATAAAACTCTTATGCATTATTTCTAAAATATAAGCATGTTGATAACTGGGTCATGAAACCCCCACTGAGACTGACCTTATAGATATTCTTGTCCGCTCGAGGCAAAATAGTAACACAATAACACCTACTAAATTGTCGCAACAATTGGACTACTTGATTTTTTTTAGTTACGTCATATCTACTTAGAGTTTTTTTTTGTTTGAAATAAGAAAGAACATTCTGCTCGATCGGAAAAAAAAAAGCTGAAGATATCCAAGATGATGCTCCAATAAGCAAAAGCTGACCAAAAATCAAGGGCGCTGAACGTCTACCAATCACTCTCACAGGTCATCACGGAGAGTACTTAACCAATGGAGCAGTTGGCGTAAAGCGTCCAGGTTCGGCGTGCCAACTGCCATGGTGCAACATGGCACTAGATTAATCTCCGACTCTCCGGGCGCGTCCGGGCGCGTGGCCTCCACGCCGGTAGCCAGTATTCTTGCTAAGGCCAAAACGAATCTTACGCTAGCCAGTGTATATATATATATTCTGCTCAGGCCACCAGTGTATATATATATATTCTGCTCAGGCCAGTACGAAAATTACGTGCAGTTCGAGTAAAACTAAAACAAAACTAGCAGCCTATTTGTTTCGGTTTAATTGGCTTATAAGTCATAGCTAAAAGTATTATTAACCGGTTTGGTGTAAAAGAAAAACACTGTTCAACCTATGAACTATAAAATAGATACGAACGAATAAGCCGAAACGAACATGCTGCCTAGTGTTATCAGGGTGGCGTGTGGCGACCACGGGAACACGGTGCGACTCCGAACGACGCTCGACGCCGGTCGCCGCCTCGTCGGCAGGCAGAACTGGTATCAGGGTATGGAAACTATACCGTGCATGGGCATGGCCATTGGCAGTTGGCCACAAAAACAAGATAGCCACGGTACTCGCTCGGACTTTACCAGTCCATGACAAAACACAACTATAGCCAGAAGTCAGGAACTCAGAATCCAACAGAAGCGTGCTGGCTATAGTTGTCGAGAAGCAAGAACATCTTTTTTTTTACTACGACTATAGCCTGAGAAGCTTGAAGTCTGGGTGTGCTTTTACTAGAAGCAGGTTTTTCTGGCCGCATAGCACCGTGTTCATGAGCATGTATGCAACTCCTTTTTACTACAAAGAATTCAGATATTTAAAGGCTTGTTTGGATCTATTAGTGCTAGTAGTTATAAGCTAAAATTAGCAAGTAGGGATTCAAATAGAAATCTGCTGACTATTAGCAAAGTGGAGGTGCTAACAATTTGTTCATTATGGCTTATTTGGATCCACTACTAATAGTTAGAGCATCGACAAGAGTCTTTCTAAAGCTCACTCTCTAAATCATTATTTAGAGAGTCATTTACATAAAAAATTATTTTCTATATCTATACACCCTCCAACAGTTTTTCTACATTTTTTTGACCGGAAACTGTGGAGCAATAGCTCCCAGTGCAGCGCCGAATATATTAAACAAGAGAGAGTACAAGCTAGAAAACTTACAAAGAAAGCCAAGAGCTAACTAAACGGAGGAAACTCTAGACAGGCCTAAAGAGAAAAGAAGACCAAAACTATAAAGAGTTGAGCCAATTCATTACAGACAGGTAAAAGGCAGGGTTGATTATGTGCAAGTGAAGCTTAACTTCATTAGCGAAGGACTGTTTCCATGTAGTCAAGGAGGACAGTTTTCCTAAATCTTGTGCGCACTCTGAAGAGTCATTGTCGTTTTCTATCTCTAGAACCAAATAAAGAAGCTGTTGGAGGATATTTTTTCATCAAAATCTCTATTCCTAACAATTAGGAATGATATAGGGAGTCTCTTGGAGTTGCTCTTAGCTAGCTAATTATTAGTAGAGATTGTTTCGATATCCACTTACTAATATTTTGCTAATATATGGTTAGCACCTACTAGTGGAACTAATAGTTAGTGGGTCTCTAGCTAATATAGTTGGTCTATTAGCAGATCTATTCGGATCCAACAGTACTAATCTTAGTTGCTAACTATTACGACTAATGGATCCAAACAGGTCCTTAGTAGGTGGAGGATGCTAATAGCTCATAAACCTCCGATCAACTATCCAACCACCTATTAGCAGGGGATCCAAACAGATCTCGCTAATAATTATCTAGCTACTAATAGTTAGTAGCTATTAAAGCAACTTCAAGGGCCTCCCTATATCCTTTCTTATTGCCAGGAATAAAGATTTTGGTGAATTTTTTTACTCTAACAACTTTTCAATTGGATCCCTAAATACTGCTATCCTCTATTCTGGATCTCTTGTTAGCCAAAGATGGAGATCGGATTAGCTCTCTATAGTGCGCACAAGTATATAGAAAAAATTGTTGGAAGGTGGAAAGATATAGAAAGCGATTTTGTGCAAATATCTCTCTAAATAATGATTTAGAGAGTAAATTTAAGAAAGACTTTTGGAGATACTCTTAGCTAGCTATCCATTAGCACTAGGTGGATCCAAATATGACCTTAGAAAAAAAATCAGATGTCAAGTAACAAAGAACAAAAGGTTCATCCTTTATGGCTTTTTAGCTAACATTCATTGTCTTGGAGAAACCAAGTGCTAAAAGGACAATGACAATAAGCACTTTGAGTAAAGATAATGCGGGTACTGCAAGGTCCAACTTTACCCGGATTGTCCACTACAAGTTCATTATTCAGGCACAGAAATATCTCTTACTACTACATTCTTGTTTGTTTTATTATCCCCAACGTAATAAATAGCGGCGGTAGTGGCCGCTACGAGGTAGCGCTCTGAACTTTACAGCCTAGAACTTTGCGGCCGCAATTCTGAATAGTGGGGCGATATTGTAGTCGCAATTGCATGCAGCAGGCTACAAATAGCGTGGAAACAAATAACCCTAATCAGCCCAGCCCACTACGACTCACACCCCCAACTCAAACACACTCACGCATCGGCTGTTGCCTCTGGGTCCAGATTTAGGCGTTCTTTGAGTATAATTAAATGTCTATTTATACTCATTATTCATGATATATGTACTTAAACTTAGGTGGGATTATCAGATGCCACTATTAGAACTTATCGTTCGCAATATCGCCCGCTATCCGTAATCCGCTACCTCGACGTCAATCCGCTACCAACCCGCTATACGTTATTTATTACCTTGATTATCCAGATCGGCCTACTTATTGCTCAAGCATGATAACTGAGAGGTGCGTGACAACTCATCATACTGATCCATCTTTAGCCAGGATGTTGGAAGAAATGTCATTCATCACTTCCAAAAGAGAATGGCTTGTATGATTACCTATGACTAGCAGCAGCGGCTAAAAGTCTCTGCTGATCAACCGGAACCGGAAGAAAAAGCACAAGTTTCAGATAGCCCCTGCTGTAGCGTATCGGTCGACTTTAACTTTATCGGACCAAATAAAAATATCTATTTGTTGTTGTTCTTGTACTGTTTGTGATATTCAGTTTCATGGGTATGTTGAGAAGATCAGTTCGTTTTGTAAAGTGCAGATCAAACTGAAAACGTGTATAGCTCGACTTTCACAAAGCACGGCATTGCGCATATGTACCCTGTGAGAATTAACTTAAACACAAACAATAGGCAAGCGTGTAGACGAGCAGCAGTAGAATACACTCTGTTTTCGATTTTCTCGTCAGATACCATTAGCACGAGATAACATTACAATCAAGCAGTACATCCACTACCCACACACTGACACACCCCTTAATTATTATTCCTCCTCATTTCGCTATCCAAGTGACCACTAGTTTGCTACTCAAGACATGCAGGTTTTCACATTCCGATGTCAAGAGCTAGGCCCCTGGCTCATTATTCCTTTGCCACTACAGCCCGAGGCCGAGGGCTATCACACGCTCACGCCGACGAGACTTGTATGTGGAACACCGTCCCGAACAGCCGGAGCACGCCGAACGTGACGAGCATGGCGAACCAGCCGCCCAGGAGCACCCTCAGGCCGGACCTCAGCATGTTGGCGCCGCCCAGGTACGCGCCCGCCACGCCGAACCCGGCCAGGCCGAAGCTGGTCGCGGCGCACACCGCGGCCACCCTGGCGGCCCATGACGGTACGAACACCCCCGCCAGCAGCGGCAGGAGCGCGCCGAACGCGAACGCTAGCGCCGACGCGACCGCGGCCTGCGTCGGGCTCGGCAGGCTCTCCCTCGCGCCTTCCTCCTCCTCGCCGTTGCGCTTGATCTCCGACACCTCGATGTCGTACTGCGCGTACACGGAGACAAACTCGCCGATGGCCATGCTGCAGGCGCCGGCCACGAGCCCCGCCATGCCGGACACCAGCATGGCCTTGCGCGTCGCGTTCACGGCGCCGACGCCGATCATGAGGGAGGCCACGGAGACGAGGCCGTCGTTCGCGCCGAGTACGGCCGCGCGGAGCCACTGCGCGCGGGCCATGTAGTCGACGCCGGCGGCGTCCCCGTCGACGTCGCGCGGATCGGGCACGGCCGCGTTCGTCGGCGCACCCGCCTCGACGTCTAGGATGACAGCCCCCGGTGGCAGCACGTCATTCATCTCCACCTTCTTACCATTCGGAAAGGCCGAGGCTGCGGCCGCCGCCGCCGCCGCCGCGTGGACGTGGGAGCTGAGGTGAGGGTCCATGGGAATGGATCACCAATGAAGCAAGCAAGCCGATAGATCGAGGACTGGAGGAGGCCAAGGGGGAGTGTGCAGGTGAGATCGATCGATGGATGGGGATGGGTGCGTGGCTGCCACACGCCCCGGGGCGGGGTATTTATAGCGGAATCCGCTAGGGTTCTCAGGAACGGACGGCTGCGATCGTGTCGCCTGTGGCGAGCACGCGCTCCATGCTGAGCTGTAGCGTGTACGCAAGGCGCATCGCGGATTCCACGCACGCCTCCAAACTGTTTCAGTTTCTGCTTTGCAGATATCTCACACTAAAGGAAAAGCTACAACGTGGCACGCGCCCCACAATCTCGTTATATTTCTTTGATTAATTCACTTAGGGCTCGTTTAGCACGGCGCGGCTCCTAGCGGCTCTTGTCCTGAAGCTGTACCAAACAGCGGGTATCAAAATGGCTCATTCCAAAATATGTAGACAAGCAGGAGCTGTTTTTTTTTTTACTCAGGAGCCAAAGTTGCGAAAACATGGTTTTCTTTGACTCCTATCACAAATCTTATATAAATTACAACAAAATTGTCACGGAAGTCGTTTTTGCTAAATGTGTTCCAAAACGGCTTCAGCTTCACCAGAAAAGCTAATTCACAAGAGTAACCGGAGCCCTCTGGGAGAGGCCGGAGCGTCGCTAAACTGACCCTTAAATCATTTACATAATCTTTTTAAATATGGAGTATGAATGCCTTAATTCATTTACATAATCTTTTTAAATGTGGAGTATGAATGCCTTAATTCATTTACATAATCTCTTAAATATGGAGTATGAATGCCTTAATTCATTTTCATAATCTTTTTAAATATGGAGTATCATTTACATAATCTTTTTAAATATGGAGTAGGAATGCATGACCAATACATGCATCGAGATATGTACCTATATGTAAATAAAAATCCAATAAAATCATCCATAAGATATGTTTTGCCAGACCTAATAATTAGCGTTGTCTAGTCATAATGCATTACTGCCCATTAGAGTAGCACTGATCCCGTGGGGATAGCATTAGCATTGATTTAAATTTTAATAGTGCTGGTGGTAGAAGTCCACGTCGAGCACACAGCACGGCAGTTTCGTTCATTCGGCCATTCGACCATGGCAATGGTTGAAAAACTATTTATTTAAAAAATGGCGGCCAAAGTGCTGAGTGGGAGACATAAAAATATTCGATGGAGACGAGAGCTGTTCGTCCCTTCGTATTAAAACTGCGGAAATGTGCGTGGCGCGGCCACTCGCGTCAAAAAAGATCAGATGGGCACGTGGCCACCACGGCTAGTGCGTCCCTTGCGAATTTTTAACACTTTTTATAAACTAATTTTAAATCTAACACTATTTAATTTTTTTTCTCCAAAACTAACACTTTTGGCCGCGCCTATTGCCACTGCGTCATGCATGATGGCGCGGCAAGAGGGATGGCGATGAGCGACGATCGGGCGGCCGCCGAAGGTCTGTCAGCCACCGTGCTGGTGGCAATCGACGCATACTCGATAGGTGACGCGGCAGAGCCGGCTAGATCATGTAACACCTCTGGTGTTTTGACCTAGCATTAAAACTTGACATGTCATTATATGCATTGCAAAGCATTTATAAAGTAGAAAATTTTGAATGCATTCACTAAATAAGCTTTATTTCATAAGTTGTTATTTTATGTGATGTAAGGTGATTCAAAACTCTGAATGAAAATCATTATCACAAGAGTCAAATTTCATGTGATCATGTGAGACTATGTGTCATTTGACCCAAATAACCCTAATGGGCCATGTTACTGGTCAAAAATCAAAGTTAAGTAAAAAGGTAAACAAATCAAATTTGAATTCAAATTCCAATTATAAAAGTCCTTTTTACCCCTTTTGTCTATTTCAAAATCCATTTGGAATTTGGGGGTGTGACAAAAAGCAAAGTTGAAGCTTATTTTATAAGGATCAACTTTGGTATTCAAAGTTTTTAAAGTTTACATATAAAATTTGGAGTAATTTTGAAATGATTCAAAAACTCAAATGCACCCAAATTCCAATTTTAAAATGGAGGCAGAATTTGAAAATATTCCTTGAAGCAAAGTTGTAGAGTTTGAAAAGTTGAGCAACTTTTATTTTTGGAGATTTTCAACTTCTTTAGAAAATTTGAGAGTAATTTGAAAAAATGGACTCAGTGGCAATTCTGTAAATAATTCAAAAATTCGATTTGAAGCCGCCGGCGCCACGCAGCTGCTTGCCGCCGACCTTCTTCGCCGCTTTCTCGCCTTGGTGACACATGCCGCACACCGTGGCGAGCTCGTTCGTCTTATTGTCGACGACGGACGCTCTCTTCCCGTCTATAAATAGCAGCAACCGTCGCCGTCGTCCTCCGTTTTTCCTCTCTGCTCTGCTCCGCCACTGATCAACTCTGCCGCTCGCCGTAGCCGCCGTCGACCCCTTTCCGTCGTGTCTAGCTAAACCAGCATGATCGTCGTGACCTAGCGCTCCTCGTTGGCTTGCTCGCGTCGCTTGGGTTGGCCGGAATCGACTGGCGCAACGTGTTCTTCCCCGTGACCGGCCGGAGCTTCGCCACCATCGACCTCACCATGGCCCCGTCGTTCCAGCCCGTCTCCGCCTTCACCAAGCACACCGTCGTAATCGCGGTGAGCTCCTAAACGTGTTGCTCGCTTCGTTTTAGTCTCTACCGTACCGTGGTCAGGGTTGTGCCGTGCGCCGTCGACTCCGAGCTGCCATGGCCGGCGTGGAGCTTTCTTCGGTGCGCCTGCTACGGTTCTGAGGGATGGGATAGTTTCGCGGGGTTGTGTAGATGGTTCTGGTGAAGTCCGCCTCGTCGGAGCATCACCGCCGGCGCGTTTTGGCCGACCGGTGATGGCAGCGCCGCCGTATGCTCGGTGTTGTGTCACTGACGAGCGGGACCGGTTGTCAGTGAGAGATAGAGAGAGAACAGTAAAGTTTTGTTATTTTCTGAGTTATGAATAGTGCAGCAACTTTGGAAATTTATAGGAAAATAATCATACCTCCAAAAATTTTAAAAATTTTTGTGTAGCTTCTGTACATGTTCTATTATGGTTTAAAATTTTGAAACTTGAAATTTGAATAAATTTTTAATGTTCAAAAATTCAGTCAATTAATTGATAAATGCAAATTCCATAATTTTTGTAGGTCACTGTATAGCTCCAAAAATTATGAAATTTATTTTGGTACACTAATTTGTTATGAGGAAGCTTACATAAAATTTTGAGGTCATTTGGAATAAGTTTATTTTTGGGCTTATTTCCAAATTAATTCAAAAATGAATAACAGCAAACCCTAAGTGTTAGGGTTAGCGTTTGATTTTGTTTGGGTCATGTTTTGTGATCAGTAGGGTTTCAAGATCAATTTGATCAAGTCACTTAGGTCATAAACCCTAGATGTTAGTGTCAATTAGTTTTGTTGACTTACAACTGTATCGCGAAGGAAAGTTGTATTCAAGGTGTTATTACATTTCATGTACCATGAAAGCATCATGTTTACATTATCATCATATTGAAGCATATGTTATTATTTTGTGTAAAATCTGAGAGTGAACCAATTCTAGTTGAGCAAGTTGTGGAAGAATCCCCGGTTGTCTCGAGATTTGATATTTGTGGTACTGATCTGGAACCCGAGATCGTCAACAAAGGCAAGTCCCGGTTTATGCATTAAACCATTACCTTGTTTACTTTGAAAAGTTTATCACCTATGTTACTTATTGCATTAAGTTGATTAATTCAAATGTTACCTACTTGATGCATTGCCTACCTTGTTAATTGTTTACCATCCTTGAAGATGATTTCATTTACAAAGTCGTAGAATTGCTTAGTATGCTTTGTGGTAGGCTTTCAAAGTAAAAATTTCGATAGAATCAAAGATGGCATACTGGCCAAAGAAAGAAAGAAGATAGAATGAACTAGAGACTAGTCGGATGACTTATCTTGAATGTTGAGTGATGTTGCCGACTATGTCGCTTAAAGGCCACTCATTGTGGATCTTCTGAACTAGACACTTTGTAGTGCTGGTCACATACTCTGGTAAGCCTACTTCGGCTAATCCGATACTAAGACGAATGCCCATGCACTGGGAGTGGAGAGATGGCGGGAGTAGCGTGTACCCTCGTGGCTAGAATGTGGCCGGATTTGAGGTGTGATGTGCTCTCGGGTGGCGTGGAGACAGCTTAGTATAGGAGAATCCGGTAGCGAGGTTGATATATGCAAGATTAAGCTCTACATATGTTGTGTGATAAGGAATCCCCAGCTGGGACTTGAATCAATTTGAATTGTCGGTGCTCCGCGGATATAGAGACTCGATTCATTATAGAAGCAATGCAGGACTGGTGAATTACTAAAACTTGAGAAAAGGAATGGAATGAGAAGGATTGGAAAATGGGACATAAACACTTAGTTGAGATAATGAACTAAAGTACTTAGGGGTAAAAACTTGAAAATAGGATCAAGAATAGTAAGCTTTTGGCAAAGAACTTTTGAATATTGCTACATCCTTACCTTGACCCAACATCTGCATCCCTAAGACCTTCGCCCCTTTTTCATCGGGTCAGTCTTGTTGGGTACTTTTGTACTCAGGATTTGTTAACCCTTGTTGTAGGTGAGTCGCATGCGCAGGCTTGTTTTGGTCCCTGCTGCATGTCAGTGTTTGAAGTCGATGACGATGAGGAATGATGAATGGCCTTTGGACAAGGCACTAGTTTGTGTGAAATAAATAATGTTAATGTAATATTATCCCGCTACTATGGTTGTATGACACTTATGGTTTTGTAAGTTTGAAACAACTGGTTTGTAATATTAAAAACTTAGGTCTTTCGCTTTATAATCTCTGGTATGTATATCGAAAACTATTGTAATATGCAATGTCTGTGATTGGGATCCTGTTTGAAAAAAGATTCGTGGATGATTTGGGTTTCCCGAGGACACCCGACAGACCTGTTAAGTTATTGGGAACTCGTGTACGCTATCAAAGG